ATTCTCTCTATGGTTTGTTTTTTTTTTTTTATATATATATATATATATATATATATATATATATATATATATTTGTAATTATAATCCCAAGAAAAATTATGAGACATACATACAAAATTATATCAGAAAATAGGCTTGGGAATAGGAAATGTTAGCTTAGTTTTCTTTAGTTGTGTGGTGGGGTCTCATGTAGCTCAAGCTGACCTTGAAGTTGTTGCATGAATGAGGATAGCTTTGAACTTCTGATCCTTCTGCCACTGCCTGCTGGGTGCTGGGATTACAGCATTGCTACCATACAGTGCTGGGGACTGAACCAAAGGCTTTATGCATGCTCAACAAGCACCCTGCAAACAGAGCCATATCCTCAGCCCACTTCAATATTATGAAAAGGTCACTTAGCAGTCACTTCTCTCTTTTGCCAAATAAGTGAAATAAGAAATTAAACATCCCAAGATGTAAGTACAAATGTGGGATTTGAGTATTAAAAAAGAAAGACCTAAAGATAAACCACACATCCACTAGTGTCCACTTGTGACAGGAGCTGTGGTGCATACGGCGTTTTGCTTTTACCTTTACTGCTTTCATACTTCATGTGATTTCTGGTTATCTGATATAGATCAGAAACCCTGGTTACAATTGCTCGAGACCTTTGGTGATTCTAATGAGGGGTTACATATCACAGAAGGCAAACTTTTACTCAGTCAAGGCATCGTGGCAGCCATGGGGTGGGGCTGGGGAATCTGTTTAAAACAGCCAACGACAGACAAAAGCCATGTCCAGGGTGCACAGACCCTGGAAACTGCAGCATACAGCAATGTTCTCACCTCTACTGAGGTTCGAGGTGAGAAAGTCAAGTAGAATCACTCAGATGACAGGCAACTCACCATTGTAACAAGCCCAGTGCAGCGGCGTGTAGCCCTGGTTGTCTTTGAGGCAACAGTCCTCTTCAGAAAGGGCGATCTGGAGCAGCTCACTCAGCCAGGTGGCATGGCCTCGAGCAGCCGCATAGTGCAGGGGTGTCCTGCCTCTGGAGTCTTTACAGAGGATTGACGCTTCTTGCTCCAGCAGCATTTGCACACACTCCTCATGCCCTGTCATAATCTGGCACGTTGCAAAGAAAACACAGAACAAACCAGGGTTGGCTGGGGATGTCATTGTTGTGAGGCCTTCCCTGCCTGGCCTAAGAGGAGCAGACTGCTTTGCTGCAGAGCAGGAGGCAGAACAACCCCAGGGAAATCCCTACCAGAAAAGCCCATGAGAAGCTATTTTGGAGCTGTCTCCCCAAACATAACCATGGAAGGTATCATGCTATGGTAGAAGATACTATTTTCAGAATCAAGAAGTGTGTTAAATCCTGGCAGTCCACCCCTGTCAGACGTATGTCAGTCTGCCCCTGTCTGATTTACTTTATTCACCTGTGAATGGGCAGAGAAACAATAACTTCACAGGTCGCTCAGTATGAAGGAAGAAACAACACAGCCACACGATTCATTGGGGACAGGGTGGGGGGGTGTACTCTGTAAATATCACAGAGTGTCTCTACACAGAGCTAGAAATCATAGCCTATTACCCTGTCAGGCTATTAGAGCCTGACAATCCGAAGCTAACACACACACAGTATGCTTCCCTGCTGGGTATTGTGGAAGGTCACAACACTGTGGCAAGTATTTGTGTATCTAAAAGGCAAAGGTATAGTGAAAGTTCTACATGAAAGGGATCGCTTCAGCTCATTATACTGTATGAGATGACTGTTGTATCGTGCAGGCTATCACTGATAGACACATGTATGTAAAGTTTCCAAAAGAAGTGATAAGAAATAAGAACTGTGATTATGTCGATAACCATAGGAAATTCTTCTTGTCACTTATTAGGCTGTTTATGCTGCCTCTGCATAACAACTTTATGATTTCTACTGTTGTCCATTTAGCTTATTTTTTCCCTTCAAAAAAAAAATCCAGCAGATATGTATAAAGAATTGGCCATGGGATACATACATTGCCATCATTTGTCACAAAGAGCAACAGAAATAGAATGACTGTTCAAAACCAGGTAATCACTGAATTTATTTTGGTACCTACACACTAGAATGACCATATATATGTGTGTGTGTGTGTGTGTGTGTGTGTGTGTGTATCTGTGTGTGTATTTGTGTATATGGTGTGGTGATATATTATTTATGATTTATTAAAGCTTGTCTGAGGGTTCAGAAAGCAAAGTTAGCCACAAGCCATAGAGGTCAGGCAATGGTGATACATACCTTTAATCTCAGTAGCCGTACTAGCTAGCCATAGAGTGAGGTGGGGGTATGACTGTTCAAAACCAGGTAATCACTGAATTTATTTTGGTACCTACACACTAGAATGACCATAAATGACCATATATATATATATATGTGTGTGTGTGTGTGTGTGTGTGTGTGTGTGTGTGTGTGTGGGTGTGTGTGTGTGTGTGT